ACTAAAGAGAAAATAAACAAATGGGATTACATCAAAATAAAAAGCTTCTGTATAGCAAAGAAACCATCAACAAGAGAGCCCGCTGCATGTGAGAACATATTTGCCAATGTTATCACTGATAAGGGTTTAATCTCTAACATTTACAGGGAACTCATAAAACTTAACAAAATGAAGATAAACAACCAAATAAAAAATAGGCAACAGACCTAAATAGATACTTTTCAAAAGAGGACTTAAGGAAGGCCAAGAGACATATGAAAACATGCTCAAAGTCACTAATCATCTGAGAGATTCAAATAAAAATGACAATGAGGTACTATCTCACACCTGTCAGAATGGCTATCATCAAAAACCCAACCAATTGACAAGTGCTGGCAAGGATGCAGAAAAAAGGAACCCTCATGTACTGCTAGTGGGAATACAGACTGGTGCAGCCACTGTGGAAGACAGTATGGAGTTTCCTCAAAAAACTAAAGATGGAACTTCCATTTGACCCAGTAATACCACTTCTAGGAATATATCCCAAGAAATCAGAAGCACCAGTCAGAAAGGATATATGAACCCCCATGTTCATAGCAGCACAATTTACAATAGCTAAGATTTGGAAACAGCCTAAGTGCCCATCAGCAGATGAGTGGATTACATAGTGGTACATCTACACAATGGAATACTACACTTTGGTAAAAAAAAAAAAAAAGAAGGAATTCTTACCATTTGCAACAGCATGGTTGCAACTGGAGAGCATTATGCTAAGCAAAATAAGCCAGTCAGAGAAAGATGAATATCACATGATCTCACTCATTTGTGGAAGATAATGAACAACATGAACTGATGAAGAAAAACAGAACCTGAGTCACTGAAGCATCGCATAGACTGTCCAACCTATGAGGGAAGCAGGGGTTGGGGAGGGAAAAGTGAGGGTAAGAGATTAACCAAAGGACTTGTATATATGCATATGAGCATAACCAAGGGACACAGACAGCAGGGGGGTGAGAGAATGTGATAGGGGTGTGGGTGGCTGAGGAGAAGTCAATAGGGGAAAAAGGAAACTTAAGTAATACATTTAACAATAAACTTAAATTAAAAAAAATAATTGGCACAAAATATTAGAATTTCTTTACTGACAAGAGAAAGCTTCCACAGAATAGTACGCATAAACATGTGACATAATCAGAAGCATGTCTACTGATAGTCCTATGACAAATGCTGTCTGCATACATGTAACTTATTTTTACTGCAGAGCAGATGATTTTCCTGGTCACCCTTCTAACTTTTATTTAAAAAAATGTAGGATTTATTTAGAGTCTAAAATGTAAGATAAAAACCATTGATTAAATTTAGTTTTACTTTTCAACCTTCAGTAATTTGCAAACTTTTGTCCTGAATCAAGTTTTCAACTTTTCTCATCAGCATGCCAATTATTTTAAATTGTTTTCACATATTCTATATTTTAAGCATCTTTAAAAGTATGACCGCATCTGCTGTAACAAATATATCATAAAACATGCTTAAAAATATTGAGATAAATGGAAATAGCAATGGGCAAGGCAGATCAATAACTATATTGAAAAAATAGAACATGATTGTTTTCCTTAGTATGGCACTTTACCTTGATTTGCCTGATAGGCAAGGATGGAAGGGAGCTAGCTAGGTGTATAATTACCAGAGTATCTTAATAAAAGGATGACTCTGATTATTGGAATTAAAAAAAATTCTCCCCTTTTTTTTCCTTTCTTCCCACTTCCTTTTATTTCCCCGCTCTCACCTTCCCTTCCTCCCTCCCTCCCTTCCTTCCTCCCTCCGTTTTTTCCTTCCTTTCAATGTGGAGAAAAATATAAGAAGGATAACATAGCTCCGCAATAGCAGACCAGGACTAGAACACTGGACTTATAACATAGGAAATAAAATATCATTATTTTTTAAATGTAATTCAGCATGAAAACACGACTTTAATTTATGACGGTGACGCTCTTGTATATTAAGAGTTCATTTACATCACTACATTAATTAAGATTTCAGGAATAACAAGTGGGTCAATGAAATAACTAATTCCAAAGTAAGGATTTATGATTCATCAGAATGTCATATTTCACAAAGGTTTGTGGAGAAATTTCGGATCCTAATTAAGGCGGTAACTTATAATGGGGAAAATGTTTAGATAAGCAGCTTATAGTAGCAGTAGGGGATTAAAATACCAAAACATTCCGTATTATCTTATTTTGTTACACTTGGTTTTGTGCATTAATTAGAAAATGCTCTGATCGTTAATATAGATGTGTATTCTTTTTTTTTCTTCATGATGTGAAAATATGGATTGCTTTTAGTGAACTATGTTTATGGTAGAAGCTAATCATTTGCTCATAACTGAGGCTCATACCTCTCTTGGTGATAGTGATGCATAATTCAGCATAGCATCTAAGTGGGAATAAATTGGGCTGAGATCCTGAACTTACAAAATGAGCACAACAATTTCCAAAGAGAACAATTACTCTTGCCCTTTGCAAGTACCCGATTAAGCCCCAGAATACTGGGAAGCATGGCGGGAAGAGGGCAGAGCGAGCATCTAAGCAACAAAATACGGCCCTTTCCCTGACACATTATTTTGCATTCAGACAATTACCGCTTGAAATAGAGGTGTCCCTTTTACATGTGGGCTGGGTTACTGTAATACAAAAGACTTGGTATCCCCCTGAAGCAACTATTGGAGACAACTAGGAAATTCTAGAGTGACCTGAATTTAGACGGTTTGGAGTAAAACAGTCAAACTCTAAGGAGATGACAATGAAAAAGTACCCTTGTGCAGCAAGCCAGTATGTGGTTAAAGGTTACAAGATGTCATATTAGAAGAAATAGTGCTTATTTCAATTAGCCAGATAAACAAACAAACAAATAAATAAATGTATATACTTATGAAAAAAGAAGAAATAGTGCTTTGCATTGATGGTCTTAAGCCTTGGAAGAATGACATTTTACCAAGAGAAAGAGTCTTGAACTAACCAATATGTACATCTGCCTGTACAAGAGCGATACCACAGGGGAGAGGTAATGCGAGGTGGCTGGAGGCTGAGCACCTCACTTGCGATGCAGGAGTGAGGGTCCTGGAAAGTATAAACTGGTGCAAAAGCAATGCATCACTTTTCATCCCTGTCTGGTGGGGCATCTGATGCACAGATGCCTACACCCTCTGCTGGTTACAGATTGGTCTACACGGGCAGAGGAAAAAAAAGGGAGACACGGGTCACTAGTGTTCCTATGAGGCCTAGGAGAGCAAGGTGCTATGAAATAAAGGAACTTGAGCCCAACGTGAGGAACTGAGCTGTGTCCTAACGAACCACAGGAAGGAACAGCCCATCCACGTCCTAGTACCTATTTCTTGACATTAGGATTCAATTTTTAAAAACATTTTAAATTTATTTTATTGAAGTGTATTTTTTTTTTGCATTTGACACTCATATTTTATAATTGATAAACTGACATCAACACATCATAATCACACAAAGTCCCTCTTACATCAGGGTTCACTCCTGCTGTTGTACATTCTGTGCTTTTGGACTAATGTATAACGACATGTGTCCACCATTACAGTATCACAGACAGCAGTTTCACAGCCCTAAAAACCCCTGTGCTCTCCTATTCACCCCTGCTTCCTCTTAACCCTGGAAACCACCGGCTGTTACTATCTCCATAACTTTGCCTTTCTTAGAATGGTGTATAGTAGGAATCATAGTTTGTAGCCTTTTCTCATTGATTTCTTTTGCTGAATACCATGCGTTTAAGGTTCCTCCATGCCCTTTTATTGCTTGGTAGCTCATTATTTGTTAGCTCTGAATAATAATCCATTGTCTGAACATACCCAAGTTTAATTAGCCATTCACCTACTGAAAGAAATTCTGGTTGCTTTGGATGGTTAGTTATTGGAAAATGATGTCATAAAATGTAGGTGGATTCCCATATTTCCAATTGTGAATTAGAGCATGCTCTACCCATGCAGCAAATATACTGATGGTGTAACTTTTCTGAGCTTGTCTTTACTGAGTAAAATTCCTTTACTGAGTTTTCACATCTGAAGTAGAAAATTATGATTTAAACCTTTGAAGGTAATTCTATCTTCAAGAGGTTTACCTAGCTTGTTTATGGCCTTTATGTCTATTGTTTTACTCATTTCACAGATGGAATTCTATTCAAGGATGTTCTTAAAACATTGCCTGTTTCAACTTTTATTCTCACTTCTTATCTTCTCACAAACTTTACACTTTAAGGAAAAAGGACCAATGACAAGACTCCACAGGTAGTCCCCTGAGGTTTATTTTGAAATACAACATGTTGCTATGATTCTAGTCACTAAATAAAAAACAAAGTTGAAAAAAAACAGGAACAGGAACTCCTTAAGTTATGTCTCTAGCTAAAAACAAATCAAAATACTTTGTACAAACATGTTTGGAGTGTGAATAATTTAATGGTAGTTATCCACCTTTTTCCTCCTACACATATAATACCATTTACTAATCGCTATAGCCTGGGAGCTAAAGGCAAAGTGGAAGCTATCGGCAAGCAGAGCCTTACTACCAGATCCACTGTCATTGTCATGATCCCCCCATTCCTCATGTAAAGTCTCATATTTCAAACTCAAAGCCATGGCTCAGTATGATACTATTTTAAGATGTCCCAAAATATCACATTATTTGCATTTGAGATAGAGGACTTATTTATTTCATGGTAACCTTAAATAAGACCTCAGAATTGTTAAAAACAATAATTTCTCTTAATTCCAACTATGTAACTAAGCATGGTTTGCTCATGAGTAACCTTGTGAATGTAAAGCTTATTGAATTAGAAAATTTCCCCCAGAGGCAAGGTAAAAATAGTGACAGTACACAATGACCATTTTCTAATTTCAGCCACATTAGGGATTAAAATATTTTGCAAAATCACACGCATATACAGGTCATTTCGGGTTGAAATTAGAGTTTTACACATGGACATATGGAATTGCGACTTACCCCTGTCTGTGTCGTACAGGAAGACAAAACAGTTCCATTCGTAGTGATCCAGCAGACTTAAGAGTGCTCCTCGCAAGGAAGGCCTCAGCTGCAACACAAACTGGCTCTCCCCCTCGGTAGGGAAGCTCGGTGTGATGAGGGAGATGTGTAAGGCGCTGCAGAAGGAGGTCAAGGTATGTACTGACCTCTTATCATAGAGTCCAAAAATGGCGAACACTCCTCTAGAATACTGGGAACAGACTGAAACAAAAGAAAAAAGGAATACAAACCATCAGTACATTCTAAAATTGTTAACGTGCACATCTACAGTCTAGGAAATGAAAAAGAAATCTCTGAATCACTGGTGTCTCAGGAATACAAGAAAAGGTTAAAAGTGAAGTGTGCCATCAATTGTACAATCAATTATTGAATTCTTGAACTTGTAGTCAAAGCCCTGCCTTGAGTGAGATAACTTAGGGCCATATGCTTCCTTTCTCAAGAAGCTGATTTAAATTAAAGGGAAGTTTAACTAAAATGACATAATATATGGCATTCCATGATAAGGTGGCACATCCTAAGTGAGAGACTCTAAGTGTGAAAAAAAAATCTAAATTTTTCTCCATATGTTTTTTTTTTACATGTGAAAAAAATATAATATCATACTTTGAAAATGTTTAAGTATATTTAGAGGAACATTTAAATAACCAGAGTGCCATCCATTGTAAGCCATATGCTTATCTTTTCTAGTTTGGACTGCATTTGTTACAAGGCCGAAATTATTACTTTTATTATTATTATTATTATTATTTATTTATTTTTTTTTTTTGCAGTGACATTTCTTATCGCAGCCTTAGAGTTTTCTTGAATCTTGTTTGAAAAAAAAATGCAGTTTGGAAAGTCACTATTAGGATATGTAAGATGCTTAGCAGAATTGTGGCAACTTGTGCAGCCTGTAGGTAAGCCACATGCAAAGACAGAAATTCCACACCCAGAAGAACCAAGTTCTCCGGAAAGAAGAGAACCCAAGGCAAGCAGGTGCCCAGGCTCACCCTGCCTATCTTTCCATCCCCCGAATAGGAAAAATTTATAAAGAGAAGAAAATTGTCCTCGAGATTCTTGCCCCATCATATTTTGATCACTCTTTCGACATGATTAATTTCTAGTTCAAATTTGGGTGACTTTTTCTAGTTTACATTATAAAGAATACAAAACTACATAAGGATACTCTTTTCCCACCTATAATAATAGAAGCATAATATGCTAATTAGACTGACATCCTTCTAAACATCCTTCCTTCTAGACAAAGCTGCAGCAGACGAGGGCCACAGCAGAGGCAGCAGAGGCCATCTGGCCTGGTGGTAGCAATGGGTGGTGGGGGCTGTGCCAAGGCCCTTGCACAAATTTTGTGCATAGGGCTTCTAGTTTATAAATAAATTGAGACTTTTTGAACTTCAAATTCTTTAATTTATCACATGGCTAAAGGTCCTGTTTCTCCTTGGTTTACAGCTAGTTTAAGAAGATGTTAGTTTTATAAAATTTTTCTGTTTCTTGATTTTGGTTACTGACTGTAATTGCTTAGCTCATTAAGAAATCCAGAGTATGGATACTCTTATTTTAGCAGTAGTTCATAGTGATACAAAGAAATTAGATTTTTCTTTGTTAAAGTAATAATAGGCTCTTTTTCCTACTAACATTTATATTTATATTCCACAATATCTAGGTTTTTGGAAATTATGAAGCATTATTAATTAAGTTAATAAAACATGGGGGTGTTTCTTTTGTTCTTGTTTATTGTATCTTTTGAAATTGAGAAAAGGGTTTAAGCAATGTAATCCTATCTAATAAAAGAGTAATATGCAAATTGATCATCATTTCAACACACAAGATGGCCATCCCAATGTGATCAAATATGGCTGCCCCCATGTGGATATAAGATGGTTGGCGGGGGCGGGAAGTTGTAGGTGATCAGGCCAGCAGGGAAGAGCAGTTGGGAGGGACCAGATCTGCAAGGGAGGGCAGTTGGGGGCAATCAGGCCTGCAGAAAGGACAGTTGGGGGAAGGGGGGTACAGGCCTGCAGGGATGGCAGTTAGGGACAAGCAGGCCAGCAGGGGAGAGCAGTTAGGGGTGACCAGGCAAGCAGGAGAGGGCTGCTAGGGGTGATTGAACCTGCAGGAAAAGGCAGTTGGGGGTAACCAAGCTAGCAGGGGAAGGCAGTTAGGGGCAATCAGGCTGGCAAGGTAGGGTAGTTAGGAATTATCAGGCCAGCAGGGGAGGGAAGTTGGGGATGACCACGCCTGCAGGGGTGACAAGGCTAGCAGGGGAGGGCAGATACAGTCAATCAGGCTGACAGGGGAGCAGTTAGGAGTTAATCAAGCTGGCAGGGGAGTGGTTAGGGGGTGATCAGGCTGGCAGGCAGAAGCAGTTAGAGGCCATCAGGCAGGCAGGCTGGCAGGAGAGCGGTTGGGAGCCAGCAGTCCTGGATTTTGAGAGGGATTGTAAAGGGTGCAGGCTGGGCTGAGGGACACACCCCCTATGCACAAATTTTGTGCACTGGGTCTCTAGTCTATAATAATAAAAGGGTAATATGCTAATTAGATTGGACGTATTCTGGATGTCATTCCTGATGAAGCCAAGGCTGGAGGGAAGCCAGCCAGGGTCATGGGTGCTGGTCCTGGGTACCAGAGGGAAGCTGGTGCTGACAGCCTAGGGCAGGAAGGCCTACTCTTGCATGAATTTCGTGCATTGGGGCTCTAGTTATAACATAAGAAGGTAACAATTACAGCAAATGAATGCTGTTGGTCTTCTTTAGATGATGTGCATGGAGAGATACCTAATATGTTCTATGCTCACCCAGGATCTAGGATTTGATCACTTGAATAGATTGACCAACCTGGAATGTTAGTTTTGGCAGAATGACTGACTGTCATTTTCTTGCAAAATACAGAAAACATTATTATGCCACATTTTGGGTTTCATCTGAATTTACTTTTATAACTTAAGTGACCTGATTAATCAAGCTGCTGGATCAGATCTTAACCTTGTGAATGTTTCATCAAGACTTGGGATGTATTTCTGTAAGTGCTGCACATTTTGCATAACCTGGAGATACTCCTTTGTGTTGTCATATTTTTTTTTTTGTTCTCTTAATTTTCATAGAAATTGAGGGTCCAGTTTCAATCTTTACATTGCAAATAATCTACTTCAATTAATTTTTATCTTATTGTACAGAAAAAAAATAAAGTTAAATAGATTTAAAAGTCATATCTAAGATGCTGACTTTCGATTTGGTGCTAAAACTACACACAGATTTTATTACATTTTCAAGAAAATGTAAACATGCAGGATTTACAAGTTATGTACTTAAAGTTATCCATGCATATAATGAGCAGTTACATAATCCCTTCTGTTTTGGGACTTACCTTTTACAAATTTAGGTTTCCAAACAGTAAGTTTTTAGGAACTCCACAAATTCTCTAAGGGGACTTGCATAGCTTTGCATGAGAACTGCTGGTGAGAAAGGCATGGATGGGCAAGCCCAGACCCCTTCCTCAGTACACCTCTCTCCGAAACACAATAGCCCTGCTGATTTTATGTATTTCAAATACTGAGCCAATATAAAATTTTATGTGCAAAAAATATTACACTTCAGAAAAAAGGTCAGAAACAATATATTCTGCACAAAATCCCTCTACTGTTTGTTCCTACTATATTGTTTTCAGATTTCATTATGACTTTCCACTACTTTGGTGCTTGCTATACTATTTAACTTATTTTAATTTATTGTGCTTGATACTGAACAAACTTAATGTTTTTGATATTTAAACATCTTCTATCTACCTTCATTCATGAGCATCATCATAAATATGTATCTCTTCTCCTTTTCATAGCCATCTGTTATTTTGCCTTTAATAAAGTAATTTTGAAACTGTACTAAATATGCAGGCCACTGCTTCACCCTGTGCCTTTTCCTTTCTCCTATATCTTCATCTTCCTTCTTCTCTAAATGCATTCCCAGAATGCTATCAAACAAGCTGAACTCCTTATTTTATGAAACATAGAACTTTTTTTAAAAAATATTTTATTGATTTTTTTACAGAGAGGAAGGGGGAGAGATACAGAGCTAGAAACGTCGATGAGAGAGAAACATCGACCAGCTGCCTCTTGCACACCCCCTACCTGGGATGTGCCCGCAACCAACGTACATGCCCTTGACCGGAATCGAACCTGGGACCCTTCAGTCTGCAGACCGATGCTCTACCGCTGAGCTAAACCAGTTTCGGCCATAGAACTTTCTTGGCCCTATGCTTCCTATGCCTTTTTACCCCTTTCTAGTCAGTAAAGGAGTCTTTTACTTACACTGTTTCACATTCATCTGGCTGCTCTACTTTCCAGCCACCAAAACCACGCTCATCCATTTTGCTCATGACCAATACAACATAAATCTTACATTTTAGCTCTTATCTTGCTGGAATCTTCTGCTGTCTTTGTCATTTTGGACATTCTCCCAGATGTTTCCTTCCCTTGCTTTCTTATCACCATGCTCTAGCCTGCGTTCACTCTCTCTAAATATTTCTTAGTGTCTTTGAATAGTTCTTTCCCCCTACTCCTTTAAAGATGGTAAGCCTTAAAACTCCACTCTTTACTTTCAATGCAATTCCACTGAAAATGGCCAACCCTGGGGCTTTAATTACCACCTCTGTAATCATGATTCACCAAGTTGTACTATTTCCTTCCAATCTTTCTCTGAACTCAGACCTATGCATCTAAGTTCATCACTTCCGTGCCACTGTGAATTTTCCATAATAGTATAGCTGTAGTCTCTCTCTCACACTGTTCCAGAACTTCAATACTTTCCTATTCAGAGCTGGAGTCTGATCTTTCAATATGAACTCAGGCTGGCTCGAGTGATTGCCTCAGCTGTTAAAGTGTGACAGAAGTGCTTATATGTGACTTCTGAGCTTATGGCTGCCTCTCCTCTCTCTCTCTCTCTCTCTCTCTCTCTCTCTCTCTCTCTCTCTCTCCAGATTTTTTTACCCAGCTATCATGCTGTGAGGAAGACCATGTGATGTGAAGAGGCCTCACTAAAAAGGAACCAATATTCTTATCCTTCAGCATCAGCTAAGTTCCAGGTTGACAGTCAAATGAACTTATTCCTATAAAATAAAAGGCTAATATGCAAATTGCCCCCTCAACTGGGAGTTCAACAAGGGGGCAGGGCTGGCAAGACAACTGCCCCTGGCTCCTCCCTCTGGCTAGCTCC